CTCATTTCCTAAGGAACCGAGCCTGAAATATCGCAGCCGTTATGGTTAAACCTTAGTAGCCATAAAACATTTGCGATGGAAGTGCAAGGTCCGCAGCGCCACTTCCTCTTCCCTTCAAGCCTTCTCGGAAGTTAAACAAAAAGGGGGACTTCGAGTAGGAGACGTGCATTTGGACGGGGAATGAGTAGGGGTGGTAGTAGTAAAATAAAGTACGAACACATCTGTGGAGCATAAATGAGCATTTACAAGGTGGAGTCAGGATACACAAAACAGTCCAGATCCTTCCAAATGCGCTTGACCGCGCGTGGCAGGTAGTCTGGGCCGAGATCCACAGCCGCTAGGGCTTGAGAAACCTTGTCGGTGCTGCCAAAAAAGAAAGAGCAAATGCGATTATACGTGGGCGGCGGGGTGGAGGCGGAAGTGGTGATGGTTTTCGACCTGATTGTGAGGAGGACGAGTAGAAGGAAAACCAGGCAAATCTGCCTACTTACTCAACGGTTTGCAGGTAATCCTCCACCACCACTGTCACCGGCGGGGCTGATGCAGTAATGGGTTTCGAGGATGGTCGAAACGGACGGAAGGAGACAAAAGAGAAGCGTAGTCGGAGGACAGTCAAAAGCGGCTTGCTGACTAGCGTCACCGAAACCCTAGAGACAGAATAGAGTTAAGAGAGAGCCACAAACACAATACAGGGGGTTGGGGCGTGAAAGTGAAAGGTTTTTATGTCAGCTTCACTTGTCACACCCGACAGTGGATCTCGGCAGCCAGGCTGTAGGAAATTTTGTCAGCCTTGTCAAACTTTGTAAATAAAATGATCTACTGAAATCAAGGTAGTAGTGTGTTTATAGTGATCACTTGAGGAGAGTTCTGGTTGACCCTTAACACACCATTATCCAGACACATCTTTAACACATTCACGGCGAGGTTCACAACGGAGGCCGTTAAAAAATTGCACCGACAAATGACTCTCTTTGTAAGGGAGAGGAGGACCATGGATTTGTGAAGCACAAATCTTTTTTTAAGTTTTGTCTTCAGAGATTGGTTTTCAATGCCACTACAAAAAACACTTTTCCCGGTAGACAGCCAGTTCAAGAAGTAAGGTTACTTCTGCCCTGTCTGTAGTGGAGGGGCTAGGTATTTAAATCAGTCAGGCACTGCTCGTAAGTCAAGTGTTTGAGTTCGGGAATAACCATTTAAGCTGACAATTTCAATAACAATCATGACTGCAGACGCCTCTGTCTTGCCGGGCGCCCCTCACAACACTCCTCTAGGCCATCAGTTTTGGTGGACCTGTTCGCAACCCGGCCATCCTAATCTCCACCGTTGCCACGCTC